ATATATACACACCCGAAAAATTTTAACGATGAAATACATACACATACACACGCGCGCGGGCGCGCGTATATATTAATGTTCTTGCACATTGATTTCAACAAATTTTTTAGCAAAATTTTCGAAATAATTTCAATTTAAATTTAGCGATTTTTCAGCATTTTTGTTGTTCACTTTCAGTGAAATTTCAGCAAATTTTTAAAAATTTCGCTGAAATATTTTCAGTAAATTTTCTGCTAAATTTGTTTATTAGGATACCTTTCTTTATTACAAATAACTATGCACAAGTAAATTTATTTGGAACATGTTTATAGAGAAACGAATTATTTATATTTTTATCTATCCATAAAGCATGCTTTTTATTTTATTTTTATTATTTTCAGTTTTATATTTTTATGAAATAGAAAATAGAATTTATTTAACCATGAACTATTGAAATCTCAAATATCTCATTCAAGTAAATGTAGTGTAAACAATAAATACTATTTTTTATTTTATTACGTAAAATACATTGAATAATATTTTTATAGTCACATATTTTAAAAAATGTTTCTATTTTTCTTTTTTTAAAATTTACAGACAACTGCGTAATTTGCTGTTCCAATGTTCCATGCTGTGTCTGCGCAAACTGCGCTACGTGTTGGTATGAAAGAATTGGTTATTTGCCTAGCAATAGCTAAATTATTTCAATATAATACCTTATTTGTCTCAATAGATTAATATCTAATTAACAATCAATATTTATTTCAGGCATGGGCAGCAACAATTAGTAATAATGACACAGATTGGAATTGCACTGGTGTTTGGATTAAGCATCTTTGGCTTGATCGTATTTTACTATAAAATGTGCTACAAGTATGAACATTCAATACATTTATTTTTCTAATTTTCTTTATTATTCGCTATTGGTGCTCCAAATAAATACGAATATACCAAATTTAATAACATTTTATGACAAATACAGTGACAATCACTTCCAAATCTTGTTTTTTTTTCTTAGGGTCTTATTTCTGTAATTTTTAATAATTGAACGATTGTTGTTAAGTGAACACAATTTTTTCTTTTCTTAAATAATATTATTCATTATTCATTCAACAACAAAATGATAACAAAATTGTCGTAAACTCAACATTAGCTGTTGCTAAATTTAGAACAATTTTATCACTATTTGTTTCTTACGGAATAAGAAAAATTCTTTATTGACAATAATCATTTAATAATAATATTGTTAAGGATAATAGAATTTTTAAATTTTACAAAGAGAAATCAGAGAGAGTAATTGTATTTTTACGCGTTCTATTTTCTGACATTTATTTTATCAAAAATTTAAATTTTTTAATTAAAAGCTAAATTGATAGATTTTTAAAGAGTTATTCTTTCAAGTATATACTTTTCACTTATAAGTGTTCACAATTTTCGAAATAAAATCTCAAAGAACCAAAGACACTTTAAGAGACCTCAAAAGTCTAATAAAGAAAGCTATTTTCGGGAATTTTTTAATATAGGCTACATATTTTCATAGGCTTTTGTAAGTTTATTGTACTTATATACTTATACTTCAGCTTCAGTAAAGTTTCTCAAAAAGGTTTCCCGAAATTAATTTTTTTTTAGATTTGTAATGATCTTTAAATTCATTTCCATTATTTATAGACCGATTCAAACGTCAACGCGAACGCGCAGAAGACATGTGCAGGAAGGTGACCTGACGACGTATTGCAGCACCATCGAAGGTCAGGCGAGACCACCTTCATATAACGAAGCTGTTCGTAATACTTCGTCTACCAACATGTATTCCGACAGTGCTCCTCCTCTTTACGCATCTCCCTACAACAGGGTATATAAATTAACATTTTTAGTATTACTGATTATATATATAATAAGAAGAATATATGTATATTTGTCACAATGTATAAACTTATCATAATATAATCATAGACAAACGTTAAAATAATTTTCGAATAATGATAAAATTTTTCTGTTTACAGATGTCCATGTCGGAAGCTCCACCGTCGTATCCAGGAACGCCGAAATTGCAAGAAAAGATTCTCCATCAAAATTCCAACGAGCCTCCTTCCTCGTCTCCCGTTGTTCAGCACATGTAACGATACTCTCACAGACATAAATAATTTGTTCACTGCGAGTACATTTGTATCTGAATAAAACGTAATCTATAGATTTATTAAAAAAAAAAAAAAAATAGCTGTCATTATTTCAATTCATTTGATAGCGAGGTCGTACTAACTATAGATGTTCCAAAGTATTTTCTAGATTTTTTTCTGAATTGTTCAGCCATATAATATCGCGAACTCGATAATCTTTGAAAGATCCGAGTAGTAGTTGAGAGTAATAATGTGGCGATGGAGAGGTAATGAAAAATTACACTCTATTATTATATAATGAAAATGTCATTTATTTGATGTGGTGCAATGACTTAAAGTAAAATGGAAAATGAATGTCTGCGTGTATGAGCTGGGTTCAATGAGCGGCGCGCGTAACATTTTTCGCGGATCAGCCACTACCGCAACTATTAATTTTTTTTTCACATAAGAACGCTTCGAATTTTTGAATGCAATGTACAACGGGTATGTTTGTGTGTGTGTGTGTGTGTATGTGTGTGTGTGTGTGTGTGTGTGTGCGTGCGTGTCAGAGAGCGGGCGTGCGGTAGTAGCTAGTGGCGGTGGTGATCTCGATCACCGACACGCGCCGGCTTTCATCATGATGAGGTAACACTTGTCTTACTTGTACTTAATAGTTTATCAAATTATATCCAGTCATACGCTCGTATTATTGTTTGTGTGTATCGTTTTTCTATATCTGTTATTTTACGAATTGTTGTTTCGGAATTAGCTTTATATGTCTTCGCATAATTTTTTTCCGTTTTTTTTTCGTCTTTTGTTTTCTCTAGGAAATGACATTCAATGTTATGTGTTTCACAAAAGAAAAATCGCCGCACAGTCCCAAAGATAGATATGAAATTGGAGAATGGTCGCAGATTTTTAAAATATGAATCAGCACGGCCAAAGTATGTTCCTTAAATTGCTACTATACCGCTTTTGTGTCTAATATATACTTTTGTTGTTCCTTTTCTTATTTAAGTCCTATATTATTCTAAGACTCAAATAAAAAGATCGACGTAGAAAAACAGTGGAAAATTCTTCTAACTATATTTCCATCGGTTCAATCTTTGATCTTTGACGCAATACACAACGTGTCATTCGACAGCACTACACAACGAATGCGCACCTTCTAATCTGCATCAATTTTTCGGCGTTATGTTACATTTACAGTTAAAGCATAGTGTTTTTCAAGGAACATGAGTTTAGCGCAGTCTGTAAAATTGAAATAAATTATACATATTGATTATTGTACAGTTTTTGTAAAAGTATGGGATCCTCGTACGTGAGTTTGTTCTGTTCTTATAAAATACACAGCAGATATGTACAGTGTAAAAATCTTAAAATCGATAGTGACGCTAGGTTTGGGACTGTCCGGATAACGACTGTCGCTTATCGTATGTATTTTATATAACAAGTAAATTCACTGGCTGCCAGGATCGTCAAAGGGGAGGGGTTTGGGGAGTCTGTCTCTAGAAAGGATCGATTATACAATTGCAGTAATTACAAGTGGTCTTATCACAGAACATGTATGGCATTAATTGTCATCATTAATGATGTGTGTAAATGGTAATAAGTATTCCACATATTTAAAACTCGGCTTTCGGTAAAGCTAAAAGATCGGAGGATCAGGAAGCCAGTACACGGTACTAAACGATTATTATTTTCGCCTTTGCGGTTGCCCATAATTCAGTTCATTGACTACACGCAATTTTGCAGACCAATCAAATTAACGACACAAAATAAGAAAAGAGCGATTAACACTCGCGCTATAATTGACTAACGTTTCTATTTTACATGATGTCTTTTTCTTTCTTCAATCTTCTCATCCATATTTATTATTCAATACGTAATAATGTGTTAACTTCGAAACGCGGATCATAACGTCTCTAAAATAATGTAATTCAGCATGCACGGACAAACATCCTCATGATATATAACGTAGATTCAACGTAGATCCGATAAATTATGGACAACCCTAAATTTAATAACATAATCATTAATAATAATAATAATAATTCGATCCTATCACTTCGCTTACAGTATGCAATACTCCAGAAAACAAGACAAACTGTGCCTATTGAGAAGGGAGGAAGGGGAGGTGGGATCGAGGAAACGGGGATTTATCGTGGCAAAAAGGAAAGGGGGAGAGATAAGTTTTTCTATCTGTAGACAAAAATATACAAAAATACATAGGGCACAGATTGCGTAGCATTAATAGTAATAATAATATAATAATAATTGTGGTTCAGAGAAAGAGATCATAAAAAAAGAACACTAACTAGAATGATTTCTCCGTCTTGGAAGAGTTTGAGACGCGCTAGAACTAAAAAGATCACTACTGTCGGTAAAAACAAACAAAGTATCTAATTCTCTCCATGCTCGACGCGTCGAGCGTACGATGCTATGGGATATCCGTTTGATCCATTTTTTTCTCCTCGTGCTTTCTTTCTTTCGACAAAGGAACAAAATGTTTAAATCGTCTGGCCGACGTCTATCACAACTTCCTTCGTGCATTGCGCGTTGTTACGGCAATCGTGACGGCGAGTCACGTGGAAAGAAGCTTCTCGCCTTTCCTTGGTCCTCTCAGGCTATATATTGCGTGTCTTTAACATCTCGCGCGACCATTTGCTTCCGATATATTCGTTCGATAATAATAGAACAAAAGCTAGTCCATGATGACGATGATAACCCTGATGACACGTTCCAACGTGTCGCCAAGATCGATTGGCATCGGTATTGGCATCGAAGAAAACGAGCGCAATGCGACTATAATGCTGCTGCTGCTGCTGCTGTTTTTGTTGTTGCTGTGTTATTAAATCGACTCGCGCTCAGGCCAGCCGAGAAGTATCATTTGTTGATGAGGATGTGTGGATGTGAATGTGGATACGTAGGCTTTTTAGATATTTCGTTCTTCTCATTGCGCAAAAACGGAACGAGCAGCACGCTGATGATGGTCGCGTCACGTTCTCACTACCGACACTTACTTGAACATAAGAGTCCGAGTACGTGCAGGAGTGCTTTTCTTTAAACTCGCCCTCGATTGACCGAACGGACAAGACGATTCTCTTTCTCCTTCCATCGATCTCGATCGAAACTCCGTCAGTTGATCTTCGCGTCGGTTCTCGTCGTCGACTTTTCTTTTAGACCAGAGAATGGCGCACTAGGAAACATTTATTTAGCACTACTATACTTCATTATATCACTGTACACAAAGGTTCAAGAGGGATGCAAAAGTGGTGGGGGCGATGTGGAGGTCGTGCCCGGGGTCAGTGGTGACTGCTTTCAGCTCTGTTTCACCCGTTTTCTGGGCGGTCCGATCGGTGGGATCTGCTGAGTCGCCAAAGCCCGGAAAGCTTCTGCTATCAGGTGCGGATGGGAGTTTACCATGGACTTGAAACCTACGGTATCCATCACGTCCGTCGCATGTCTGCAATAACAGCCGTATGGATTAGCGATATTACAAGTCCCGTCACAAGTTCACCCATACAGCCAAAGAATATAATTTTGGTCGTTGGGAGAGCAAAATTATCTTTTTAGCCGACGAGCCAACGTAACGTGTTTCGCAAATACACTTCTCTTCTGCGGTAACTTACGTATTAATGAAGTCTATCGCTTGTGCCTTTAATTGATCGGCGCTATGGAGATCGGCAAGTATGAGGATTTCGGCTGCATTCTCAATAGCTAAACTTGTGCAAAGTGCTTCCTCGCACATTACCTTCAGCCTTTCCAACGCGTACTTGTCCGCCGCGGCTAATAGATCGTCCGCCATCTTCTCCAGATTTGCTGCTTTACCAGTGTAAATAAATCGCAACATTTCTCTCAAAACTTCGTGGTCCACATCAGTGATATCGACATGATTTTTCTTTCTCTCCTCCATCTCGTGTTCGAACATTGCCGAAAAGACAGGACTTCGCGCTGTAAATCGCAATTGCCAAATTATTCAAGTTTTGTCACTAGATAAAACACATGTTATTAGTTTACGTTATCACAGTTAAAAAGAAGAATAAATAAACCTTTAAATGATGAGAAAAATACCAATCATGTTAAGCTTCCGATATGTTCGAGTTAATCAATATATAATATATGTGATATTAGTATTTTTCTGTCTCTAATTGGAAAATATTCTTATCTAGTTGTACATTTAGGCATAATGAAATCAAGATAAACTATTTCAGTATCTGAAACCAACCTGCCAGAATTGCTTTGTGTGCTTGGAACTCCCTTCCGCAGACAGTGAGGGTTACGTCGCTAAATTTTTGGTTCTCGAACAGAAGCCCGAGATCATCGGGCAGTCGGCATTCTGGTACTTTAAATTGTATCGTATTACTCTGCCCAGAGATGTTTACACTGTCCGCCACCACGCTGACCTGTGGAAATAACGAAGTTAGAAGTGCTCGGCTCGGCTGACGATATATGCGCGAGTAATGAGAGCGAATAGTGACAATTGACATACAAAGGTATATACCTCACAGAATATCGTGAGTTTGTCATCCGGTAGCAATCCGTTGGCCTCGTCCAAAAGAAAGTCTCTCCTGATGAACTTTTTGAAACCCCAATCTTTACCCTGGACGAACCTGTAAGCACGTTGGCTCTCTGCAAGAATAAAACAAAAAAAACCTCGTTCAAGCCGCGTCTCTTCAACCGCGTTATCCGACTTATCGCTACGCGCGGACTGCCAGCGCAGCTGAAAGCCGACTTTCGTCTTCGTCAAATCGTAGCGTTTTTAATTGCGTGGCAGCAAGCCGACGAAAATCTTTAAAATACCCTGCATTGCATCCGCACGTATACACACGTTGATACATTAATTGCCCACGTAAACGTTTCCTTTTTGCCGACTTACCCATTGCTTTGGTTTCTTCTCTTTTGGCATTAAGAATAGAAAATTTGAACTTTGCTCTGACTTCGGATTTGTTGCACGAAACGAGAAGGAGATACAGCGACAGGTAGTCTTTGCTCTCTTCATCCAGGCCCTTAGGATTCACTCTCAGACACCTAGAAACCAATTAGCGCATCAATTGACACGACCGTTACCGTCGCGAGGGCGATTTCTCGTTTCGTCGCCATACGCGAATTGCATCTCTCGAAATTTACTTCTCCCCAAGGTCTTGGTTCAATTTAAAAGCCGATCGTAGATTGGCGGTATATCCCGTCCCAGCGAGAAAGACGCATTTTTCTCCGAGTATGCCGGTACCAGAATGCCGGTACGCGAATGGAGGAAAATAAAGCCGGGAATGTAATACGGAACGGCTGGTGAGAGAGACAATGGCTCGTATTCTCACCGTTCATTTAGGCGCTAAACGCGGCGGTTCGCATTTCTAAGACTTCCGACACTTCTGTTTTTTCCACGTGGAGAAGCATGCTGGCTCAAGGCGAGGCTCGAGATCGGTCAATCATGCACGGGATCGACAAAGGCCGCGATTTACAATGTCGAGTGCGCTACTTTACTTTGCAAAATCAACCCGACGCGAATTGTACGGACTGTAATTATTATTCGCGCGTTGCTCAGATCCCGTCCATTTAACGCTAAATAAACGTGTCAATAGATGCAAATGTCCCTGCTGATGGCTAACCGCCATCACGTAATTCAACACACCTGTTCGATAACCCATGTTCGATACGTGAACACGTTAAATCTCGGCTCCGGCTCGTATGCAATGCAAAGAATCTTAAACAATTTTTTTTTCTCTTTTTTTTTCTCTTTCTTTTTATTTCCATCCATTCCCGCGACTCTCGTTAGAATCATTAATGGCTCTTACCATTTCAACTTGTCGTTGGCTCCGGCGGAGAACGTGGACGACTTGAGCACCTCTCCCATCTCCTCGCGACAAAAGCTGAAGTTATTTATCGTCCACATGTAGCTGAATTTAACCACCTTCACCTGTGCATATAAGACCTTCAAATGCGATACCACGTCAGAGTTTATCCCGGTGGAAACTAGCTTAATTTAACTACGTTAAAATGTATGCCTACAAAACACCATGGCATCCACGTCCATCGTGGGCGTCCACTCTGCATAGTTTTAGACAAAAAAATCATCCGTCCCACTGTGTTCCGAGAGAAACGAACCCTACGTCAAATATTTGAAACGGGAAATAGAACTCGAAAAGACACAACTTTCCACAACTTCTGAAAAGAAACGAGTAATCGGAATAGAACGGCCAACTTTCCTGAATTTGGCACATCTCGATTTTCAGCTCTCTCTATAAAAGTGTCCCAAAAAAATCCTGGTGCTATTTGCCTTGATTTATTGTATAACGTAAATTAATCTAAAATTTGTTAGTATATGAAAAAAATATTAGTGCCCATTTCTGATTTTATTTCAACTTACTCCTCATCTTTTTCTAATTCTTAAAACTAGACAAAGATGAAGAGTTAGTTGGATCGAGATTGAAGTTAATCAACATTAATAGAAAGGGTGTAAGGGTCTCTTTCACGAAGCTAACCAATGATTAACTTACAATAACAGGTAGATTATTGTTTGATTATATTAATAAATAAATATTTTCCATATCTAATTATATAATTAGTTTGATTAATATTACAAAATATTTTTCTAATTCAATACATAAAATCTAATTCAATAAAAAATCCCGATATTTTTGTTGTGTCTCGATATTTTAAGGTTGATATCCCGAAATTGGCTGATCAAGAGATTGATTGGCTAAATAGGGAATCTCTTACAACAAAAATAAATTGCTCCCCTAACGCGAGAATCAGGAGGTCTCCTCTTAAAAAATTCAGCCGACTTCTCTTCGTACTTGAGTTGGCTAAACCATCCAAGTAATTGAACTCAGTTTAGAAGTGAACATCCGGTGATTATGGATTATCAGCTTGACATAGTAAACGTCAACGTGATTAAATCATGCTGCGGCTATCTGACCGTGTTTACGAGTCGCTTCGCGTACATTCAATTAGTATTCCTCCTTTATCTGCGTAAGAAATAAATGTCATTGTTGCGAGTCGAACGTGTCTATTTGAATCTACGTTCATCGGATCTCTCGAGAGGAACGTTCATCATTTGTTCGTTTATATGTTAATGTCGAGTCCATGAAAAGCTCTCAGCAGAACAAAGTTCTCTCGACTACGGCTGAAATCGGCCTTCAAGGCGAAGTACTACAAGTACCAGCATACGGTAGTGCAAAGGGGGACAAAGCGGAGTCGGGGAGCGGCGTGGAGATCCAGGGTCGAATCGAATGATCCTCGGCCTGCTTGCGCAATTCCCTTAAAGAATACACAAATGACTTTAACGGTAGAGGCGTGACTTTTGTTATTTCGAAGGACGAAACATTTTTCTTTCCGCCTACCTTTGTCGGTAACGGTTCCAACACATTTTTTCCTCTTTTTTCTCTCTCTCTCTCTCTCTTTCTCGCCACGGGACTTTACATTAATTATGCATCGAAATCGCGGATTGGAAATAATGGATTCAGAAATGTTTGTTCCCACCACGAAACGTTAAATAAAAGAAATGTCGCCCGTGAAGTCCGAGACCTTCCTCGTGGACATTGTTCAGCTTAAATACACAATTGAATATAAAATTAACGGGTATCTAGAGAAAGAGAAAGAACTTGGAACGATTGATCGCGAAAAAAAGAGAAGACAAGGAAGAGAAGATAAGGAAGAAAGACATGAGAAGGTCGAGACCTCAGAAGAAGTCAAAGATCTCTGACGTCAGCGTCGTGCGTTATGACCTTGGTGAACGAGCGGTAGCTGGCGACCAAATCTATTCGTCTAGTATTTCCTAATGGTGAACTTTACTTAGGATTCTTATCGGTCATCTACCGTAATTATGAATACTTTTGTACGAGAGAAACAGTGTTAACTAAAGCTATGCCTAGTTGATGAGTGATCGGATATTTCTACCACGACTAAGAATGAGATTCTGAACTGATTAAAGTAGAAAGGAAAGTGTAAACTGGGAAAAGAAAAAAGAATATTTTATACAAAGTAGGAGAAAGGAATCAATTAAAATCAAACGCGTGTAAACATCCATGATGATCGTCGATGAGAAATAAAACATATCTGAGAATTTAATCGTCACACCGAAACAATATTCTTCATGACTTTTGTTATCGAAATTAAGGCGATACAAGAAACTCATGACAAGAATTATGTATTAAAATTATGAATGCGATACAAATGTCGTTGTCTTTGTTATTCATTGAATGTCAAAAAAGACAGAATAATGCTTATGTCGATTTGTTTCACCAAATGGAAAGCACTCTATTATTTCGGATTTAAAAAAAAATGCAAGTGAAAGAAATTTGTAAACTAATTGCAAGAGGAATCCGATAGATGAGTTCTATCGAAAGAACTTTTCAATCTCGGAAGAATACGATATCGCTGACTAGAAATTCATAATTGAATTTCAATCTTCCTCGCTCTGAAATACATTGAGAAAGTTCTGAAAAGAGATCCTTATTTTACTCCTATATTGTGATTCATTGCAAAGACTAAAATCCTGATATATAAGAAAATCTCGTGTTTTACAGAACAGTTTTCCATATCGATAGTTTGCTTACTATTAAAAATAATATTGAGTTTTTCGTTTTATTATAAGAAATGAGTTTTTTGTCAACTGCGAGACATCTTCCTTCCGCTAAAATCGCCCATGTAATCTCAAATTCGTGGATAAGAATGATACTTGTGTATTTTAAAAAACGTGGGCAAAAGAAATACGTACGTTTATGTTAATTAAAACTCGGAACTTCAATCATCGTAGCGATTACAAAACCAATTCCAAGTGAAATCATGAGTTCTATTTGTTAGCATTTCTCCATCTTGAAAGACAAAGTACAATCACTAGTTAGAAATTCGTAATTGAATTTCAATTTATTTTCCTTTTATAACATATCGAGGACATTATATGGGTAATTTATCTTTTATCATATTAACACTGATTTTTTAAAATTATTATTATGCAAAAAGATGAGCTGAACAAGTTCATTGCTTGTCGAGAATGTCACTCTTCCATGATAAAGCGAAAAATATCAAAACCATATCTCAGATCTAGACGATGACAATGAAATATTTTGGAAAATACTGTCAACAAACACATAGATTCAACGATACCAGAAGATTTGCGGGTTATCGCCGTGTTCATCCATTGCTAACATCCATGTCAACATTTCATAAACCTTCGGTATCTTTAAAGATAATACCCATGAAAGCGAAAAGTACATAGATTTTATTATAGATTTATTATCAGAATTTCAGTTTTTGCAATGCGTCATAATAGAAGAAGCAGAATGAGGCATTAGTTTGTTACTTATAGAAAAGAAGAAAACTGTCCACATGAAAAATGTCCACAATATTATATCTGCGCTCTCGAGAGCTTAGTAAAGTTAAATTAAGTAAAAGTTCGTTTCTCTTTTCGGCAGATACTTTACAATCGTAAGAATTATACCTTTGTATTCCAGACTTCCTTTTTCAAGTTAACTCCTACCGTACTAGCTACAATTTGGCTCATTCATACAAACGAGGAATAAATTGGCCACTAGAATCTGTTCGTTTTTTTTCACTTATTCAGAATGATTAAAAAAAATCTCCAAAAATTCATCAACATACTTTCAACTTTCTAGAATAAATATTGGCATTTCATTTTGGAAAATAATAAAATGTAGTATAATTTATAATTACCGAAAGACTCAAAGAAACTTGCACGAACAGGAATCGTTCAGTGACTCATACAAGATAATTCCATAAGTAATAATTTAATATTAAACGTTTCAATTCTTTATCAACTTTATCATCGTAATAGTTCTATCATACATTTTTACGTTATACAGTTTTCATACAGTTCTCTTGTAAACGCAGTTCTTTAAAATCATAAATAGCTTCAACTTAATCCTTGCCATACGACAACGTACACAAAAACGTGTGACAGAACTATTACGATGATAAAGTTGATAAAAAAATTGAAACATCTAACATTAAATTATTACTTATGGAATTATCTTGGAGTGCAAAGTTCTTATTTTGAAATTCCATTTAAGACGAGAGAGGTAGATTCCCAGAGGAGAATTTAATCGAGATTCTTGAATCGAGATGAGCATCGCTCATGGCGTCAAGGACTTCTATTTCTTGTGGTTAGAAGAGTTTCCCCGATCATGGACATATCGAACGTTCTATTCACGATCGCCGGACAGGCCGGGTTCGATGATCTCCATCACGGCGTGACCTTCGCGCATCGGAAGCTTAAGGTCGACATTCGCATCGCCGAGAAGCAGGAAGGAGGCAGCTATCTCTCCCGCGAGAGTTCAACGCACGCTTGTACTGTAATCTCCTCAGCGGCCGGTTACTTACGGCTTACGACGATTCGCTCGCATGGCAGGGAACGAAACGGCATGAGAGCCAGCCATCTGATGCCTCGTTATAGCATCAAGGATTAGAGAGATGGGACTTTCAAGAGACAATTCGAGCTTTTAAGCAAATCGAATACGCAAAGGTACGTTCGTGTGTCACGATCTTTTCGACTGATGGCTACTGAAAATTCCTCGAATGGGTTGCAGAAGAGAGCCGAGGACATTTCTTAGTCTATATATACAAGATTGACACACAAGATTTCAGACGAGAAATTAGGAGCAATACCGTTTATTTTACGGTGGACGCTAAGGTCAGGTTATTTACTTCTTAGGAACTAATGAAGAAAAAGATAACTGTGACTTCACCGTATTTGGATTCATTTTTTTCGTTATTGCAAAAACTCCCTGTTATCTCAAAAAAAATTTTACTTTAAAGCAGATCGTTACTTCTATATTGTAAATCAGTCCAACATATTATAAATTAATTCGATGTGATTAATTTGAAATAATTACGACAAAGTTTCGAAATATCTCGAGAATGTGGAACGAGGAATTCTATATATACATGTATCTTCTA